ATTTTTTTTTTGGTAAAACTCCCTTTTAAAATGCGTTTTACATATTTGAATTATTATTTTGTTAGTTAAACGCAGCATTGGTGCGCCCACAAAATAGGTAAAGCGTGGTTTGGAACTGCAACAACAACAACAACAACATCCCAGTATAATCCCACAAGTGGGGTCTAGGGAGGGTAATATGTACGCAGACCTTACCCCTACCCCGAGGGGCAGAGAGACTGTTTCCAGGAGACCCTCGGCTCAAGAGAGCAACAAGAGACAATATATTAGTACTATCAATAGGCTCATAATAAAACATATAATACATAACATAAAATAAAAATAACAACAATATAAGAAATATAGGAAATACGAAAATGATGGAGAAAAGGATGTAAGGTATACTAATATCCAACAGATATAGCGCTGCATCAGTAGCTGATCAGTAGCATCCTAAGACTAACTCCTAAATGGTTAGTCTCACTCTAGTGCACTGCATTAATATTCACAAACTACCCTCTAACCTACGACTTTAATGCTCGACCTCCACAATTCCCTGTCAAGGGTCATATCCTCGGAAATCCTAAGTCGTGCCATGTCCTGCCTGATCACCTCCCCCCAATACTTCTTAGGCCTCCCTCTACCTCTCCTCGTGCCCACCACCGCCAGTCGCTCACACCTCCTCACTGGTGCATCAGTGCTCCTCCTCTGAATGTGCCCGAACCATCTGAGTCTTGCTTCCCGCATCTTGTCCTCCATGGGGGCCACGCCCACCTTCTCTCGAATATGACGTTAAGGTAAAGCGCGGTTTCTAACTGCATTTTATATACTTTGGTTACCAATTTTTTTCCACCTATTTTGATGTTTTGAGTCCACAAGAACCACAATTAGGGTTCCGGAGTCGTAAATTGAGAGTAGCAGACTAGGCAATAAAGGAGTCCGGAACCTAAATATTATTTTTTTGGACTCAAATACCTTAATAGGTGTTTTAATAAAAATACATTTCTATATATAGCGTGCAAAAACAAGACGTTATACATTAACTGTAACGTCTGTCGTTAAGGTATAGCGTCTTTTATTCATACGCTATACATATAACGCCCAAAAAAATGCTATACCCTGAATATGGACCCACCAATAAGTGAACTGACAAACACAATAATTTAAATGTGCATAGTATATTTAAAGAACGCTATACGACAAAAAAATTTCATATCCCGTGCTAGCCATTTCCTATATAAAGTGGTTAGGATTTTAGGAAAATTCATTCACATAAAATTCTAACTCCCGTTCAATTTTTTCTTGTTGTTAAATTCTGAAGCATTTTTTCGTAATGTCTGAAGAGCGTAGAATAAGAGTTTCATTATATTGGGGGGAGGGTGATGTTGTGATGGAGAATAACTCTGTGAGGTATAGTTTATCTCCACAGGGTCATGTTAAGTTACCACTCACAATAGAGTACGATAAATTGATATCGTTATGCAAAAAAAATGAGTGTGAGGAAACGTTCAGTGATACTTAAAGTAACCGNATGAGGAAACGTTTAGTGATACTTAAAGTAACCGGAAGATATCTGTATTCCATCACTTCGCAAGGGCTGCTTTTTACTCGGAGTTAAACATCTACGATGATGAAACTTTGAGGGATTTTCTGAGGACTCCGGATGAATACCGGAAATATCTTGTAATAAATATGTTGGATATGTACATCAAGGTCGAAGACGTTCCAAACAATGAGATTGCCGGACATGTTCCGGATAACCCCCAGTCATCGGGTGGCTATTCTGGAGGAGTTTTTGTCGGACAAGTTCCGGATGAAAGAGTTTTCCTTGATTTAAACTTATCCCCGCCTTCTTTACATAGTTCACAAGATGAGTGGTAAGCTTCAATTTTTCTTTGTGTTACGATGTACATTTTTGTTGTATTGAATTTGTATTAACGTTCATATATTTAACAGGGGGTACAGGCCGGATATGAACTTTACAAATTTTGAACCCAAGCATAGTTTTAGTGTGTTGGATCATGGTGGTCCATCCGGGAGCCATCACCTAAATGAAAATGTCCATTATGGAAGTTCATCACATTACGACTTGTAAGTGAAGTGATACGGCTATATGGAAAGTATTTATTACATTCAGCATCTTATTATTTTGTTGATTGTGCAGTGAAAACGAGCAAGTTGAACCAAATGTACTCACTCAATTGCCCGAAGACGACGTATTAAATCGGGATCTGGCAGATGCACAGAGTGAGGAAGA